TATATATATATATATATATTATTCACTAAACATAATACAATAATAATAATAATAACTTAAGAAGTAATATAACTTAATAATTTTTCTACAATAATAAAAGAATAAATACATTAACTATACTATTACTGAAATAAAACAACATACAATAAACGCACCATCATCACGAGTGGAAAAGGATGCTTATACACCCGGACAGGTGATTGATATTGTTGAACCATATCACGTCTTCTTACGAATTGGCTGCTAACTTAGACTGTAATATAAATAAAAATAAATATAACTGTAATAATTTAACTAATGCAATTAAATAAAACCAATGAAATGCATTAATGACTAACCAAGGAAGAAACAAATTTATAGGTTACAAAAAGTCGATTCTTAATCTTCTTTTATTTCATTCAATATTTATGTCGCTACACTTTGCTCAAAAATAATTTTGGGCAGCAATTAAAATATTAAAAGTTATACACAACTTATAAATAAAAACTTGACATACTTAATATTTATATATCATATGATATAGAAACAAAAAAAAAAACACAAATCACACACAAATATTAATAGCTTCAATAAATGGCGCAGATGCAGTTTGATATTACGGTGTAACCAATCCTAACTGGAGACCAACAGCAAAACGTATAATATAAGTTACTGTTTGGAACCAATCAGAACGCAATAAACAAATATATAAATTTCAAACATTCAGATTTATTTGAAAACATTCGCGAAAAGTCTTCGAGTAAAAGTTCTATATTAATTGTACTTTCAAATTATTACTGTATAATTAAGAAACATATATTTGTTGCAATTAAATAAGCGAATATTACATAATTGTAAATACATAACGATATATAATAATCTTAATCTAATTTAAAACAATTATAGACAAGGTACAGAATAGACCTGTCACCCAATACATTTTTGTATTGTACATCTCGGGAATTCTACAGCCCTCTTATTCTTTTATATCATTCCCATATTTAAGTAGTTTAAAAAGCTATTATCTGTAAATTAATATTTAATATGCAATTATTTTTCAATTCTAAAATTTACAAGTATATATTTTGCTAATTTTATCGCTAGATCTTCGCTGAATTGAATCATTGACTAAAGATAAAGTAGACTAGACACGAAATGACTTCGTATTTCAGAGTCTACCAGAGAAATACCGACCAGGAAAAGAATCACAGGTTTTTTAGCGTGCTTTACGCTTAAACACAGACGAGATGCATGCATGAATCTCGTCTGTGAGTTAAAGCATGTATAATAAAGTTACAATTTTTTTACCCAATCATATTTCAGGACATATAACATGAAATCCCATAAAACGACATGTCTATTTTGTACCTTATCCGTGGTTCTATTTAGTAATCTTAGATAGGTCTATTCTGTCGTTAGTCGATGATAAAAGGTATTTATCGATCGTTTTGGGCGCTAAAGACAAGTATAGTATATAGGACAGTATAAATCTAATGTTTTAAAAAAAGAAATATCCATGTTTTCAAATTGTGTATAGAGTAAATCAATATTTGAGTTGTATAAAAGATGGGAGTAGGTAAAAGTCAGTTTTCTGAAGAAGAACTACAAGCTTACCAGGTATTTGATTTTGTTTAAATTATTAAATATTTGTATATTATATTCAATTACTTAATATTACTTTATATTGTAGGATTTAACGTACTTTACGAAGAAAGAAGTTTTGCAGTAAGTATATTTAAATAATACAAGTAATATCTATTTAATAGTTTTTTATAATAATTAGAAACAATAATTACTTTGATTAATTATTTTAACCTTATACTTTTTATAGATTTATTTAATTATAGAGGAAAAGATAGAGAGCTGTTTACTCTCGATTTTACAATAATGATATGCATTTATTTTACTTTATACTTTTAATTTTAGCATTTATGAAAAATAAATTATATTCATATTATATATATCCACATATATCAAAAGAAAGAGTAGATTTATTTTACCATATTTTATATATATTTTAAATGCAAATATTTTGTGTCTAATTATTTTGTAAGAATGAAAATTGAGTATAATGATCTAATTTTCCACTTAATAAGTGAGATAATTAAATATATATTTTAGGTTTATAATATTATTTATATTATTTATTATATTTATATCTATCTAATTTAGTCTTTCTATTTATATATATGTATATAGATTATTTGTATTGTATATACATAGATATACAAGAAAATATTAATAACTTTATGATTAGTCAGTTATTTTTATTATGTATCATTAGCAATATTTATATGTTTAAATTAAGAATAATTTATATGTTTAAATTAAGATGGTTAAACCATCAAAAAATATAAAATTTTGATTTTATGTGATAGCGCACATCAAAAGTTTAAAGCACTTGCTCCAGAAAAGGTTGGTCATAATAGAAATGCAAAACTTCCAATGTCCAAAATTTTACAATATCCTGAATTAAGAGCAAATCCTTTTGGCGATAGGATTTGTAAAGTTTTTAGCTCTAGTCAAGATGGAGATTGTACATTTGAAGACTTTTTGGACATGATGTCTGTTTTTAGTGATGCAGCTCCAAAAGCTGTAAAAGCAGAACATGCTTTCAGAATATTTGGTAATATTTTATTTATGAATCTCTTTATAAATTTAATCTACTGTTTAACTTGTATTATGTTGTATATAGATTTTGATGGAGATGACATGCTTGGTATTGGAGATTTAAGACAAGTTGTAGATAGACTTACTGCTCCTCAAAGATTAAACGAAACAGATATGCAACAAGTTCTTCAATATATACTTGATGAAGCAGACTTGGATGATGATGGTGCACTTAGTTTTGCTGAATTTGAACATATCATAGAAAAAAGTAGCGATTTTTCAAAGTAAGACTTATGCAAATTCTTTCACTATTTTTATTTATTACACTATTGAAATTAAATTTATTTTAACATATTCATACCTATTTTCAGGAGTTTTTGCATACGTTTATGAGACAAAACATTTATGAAAGATAGTAAAAAGGTAACGTAAGACTGAATATTGAATATAAACATTGAGATACTTTAATATAGTCAATAGGCCTAATAATTTTTATTATAAAAGAGAAAATGATTCTACGATTTTAAAAAATATGCCAATGTTTCCTGAAAGCCTACTATACTGTTTTTCTAACGACATCATCCTTTTTATATGTATTATAAAATATTTTACTAATCTAAATTAACGGTATATACATTGTATACATTATAAAATATTTTACTAATCTAAATTAATGGTATATGTTATTTAATTGTAATGTTTATTTATTACTGATTTTTATAAAATATTAATGCGTAACATAATTTCATACTAAGAGAAAGATTAACATTTATTTAATAATGTTAAATTCACTGCCTTAATGTGTTTTATTTTATCAAATGTAATTTATTATGTAACTTTGTTAATTTTGTATAATAATAAGTGGTCAGTATTATATATTTCAGTAAGATTAAAGTTTTTTTTATATATAGAATTATATGATAAACAAATTTTTCTATATATCATAATATATGAATTGTTATTAACCCTAACGACTAGCGCCGGTTATATCCAACATCCACTAAACGCGTCGCATTGGCTAGAGACAGTAACGATACGTGAATTGATAGCACGCATTAAACTGGCGTACAAGAAGTTCCTGGAACGAATAAAGTTTATTTGTTTTCTATCTTTTTGTAGAGTATCATAGTTAAAAGTATAAGGTAATTAATCAGCAATAACATTATATACAGAAAAATGAGAGAACCAGGTTGGTAAGTTGTTACGTTCAGAAGATCTTTAATTTTACCTATCCGTTTCAAATATTAATAAGTGATATAGGTTTTCTCCTCTTTAAGATGGAATATAAAAATCTAAAAAAACGGCAACTAGTGAACGAGACTGATGCGGAGAGCTGTGATGAAAATGAATCATAGCACATCGAAGAAAACGGCGATTAAATGTACTGAGTAAGAATCAGAATCTGAGAAAATTGAAAATGATGTTGAACGTACAAAGTACCAACCGGTCAGATATTACATGGACTTCGAAAAAATTTAAACCAATAATTTTTACAAAACAGCAATCGGGTATTCAAACAAATATAAGATTCTTCTTGAGAATTTCTGCAATACTTCCAGTTGTTTGTATCTGAAGTAGAATTCATTGTTGAAGAAACAAACAACTATTGGAAACGAATAAATCCTCATGATCTTACAGTTGGAACAGACTCAGATGAATTATATTGTTTTTTTTGCTGTTTCTCTACTGATGACGAGAAATAAGAAATTATCACTCGACAAATATTGGAGCAAAAATAGATTAGTTAGGAAGCGACATATTTGGGGGGAGATAATGAACAGAGATCGATACAAATTATTACTAAGAATGTTACATTTTGCTGATGATCATGAATCTAATTTTGATCGTTTATGGAGAATACGTGAAGTAATCAATAGGTAGATCAATAGGTAGATCACTGACGCATTCTGTCCATACCAAAATCTTTGTATAGGTAAAAGTCTCCTTCTATATAAAGACAGACTATCTTTTAAACAATTTATTCCATCAAAGAGAA